ACGATGAATAAAGAAAAGAGACCATGCTCTCCAGGGTGACTAAAGGAAAGAGAACATTCCTGTTCATCCCAAAGGCACAATTTTAATGAGTTGACTTTGTTTCATGCCCAGAGACCAGACACTCATTTGTGAAGTAGGTTTTAGATTTTTGTTGCGCCTCTAAAATATGAGCTGCATGGCCATCCATTGTCTTCTGATATTTTATTAAAAGGCTCATCTTTAAATGTTCAGAGATGCTTGGGGGGAAAAAAGGAAAAGATTCTAATAGTTCACATGGAGACAAATTTTCTGGGTTGCTGAGGCTATGTCTAAAATATTAACTTAGGGACAGAATAAAATAAAACTGGATGTGAACATGGCTTCTGTTCTGAGGCTGCCTGCTAGCTGGGATGGGTCCACCAGCACCTTCTCCTCCTTTCCCCTTCTAATGGGTTGGTTAATCCGCATTGCCAACTTGGAAGGATTCTGAATCTCATAGGAAACATGCCTTGGCTGTATCCGAGGGCATTTCTAAAGAGGTTTAACTGAAGAGGGAAGATATCCTGAATACAGATGACAACATCTGGTTTTTACTACACTCCAGACGGAATGAAAAGAGAAAAAGAGCTGGTCTCACAATGTGGGATTCCCCTTTGAGCGCTATGAATATGTTCTTACTACCGCTGGTTATGAAAGAAGCTGTTTCGGCCAATGGCTTAATAGAGTCAAGCCAGGCAGGAAATCCAAACAGAGATATAAAGAGAGAGTAGGTGGAGTCAGGGAGATGGCATGCAGCTGCCGAAGGAGAACGTTGCCAGCCGCCAGCCAGAACTTACTGGTAGGCCACAGCCTCATGGCAATACACAGATTAATAGAAATGGGTTAATTTAAAATGTAAGAGTTAGCTAGGAGTAAATATTCCTAGGCTACTATTTAAACAGTGTTGTAATTAATGTAGTTGCTGTGTTATTATTCGGGTCTGGGCAGCCGGGAAATGAATGAGCAGTCTCGGCCTACACGCTCACTTCTATAATTCTTGCACTCTGGAGGTAGAGACAGTAGAATAGTAAGTTTAAGATCACCCTTGGCAACATAGTGGGGTTGAGGCTAGTTTAGTCTATTTGAGACCCAAGACAGGTGAAGAAAGGGACAAACTGAGCTCCAATGTTCATCTTTCTCACTGGGGACACAGTGTGGTCAGCCCAGCACACCCCAACAGTTACGGTTTTCTGAGAAATGACTGTATCCCCCTCTTACCTGGTTCACAGAGTTCTCTTTTAAGATGTTTCTGTCGGGTATTGTGTTAGACTAACGAGAAGGGTGGCTAATCACAGCAGAGCAGAGTAAGGACAAGAAGGGAAGACAGTGGTTTCTGTTCTCAATGATGAACAGGCATTCTAGCACCAACCTTTCTGAAAGCAATGGAGACCTGGTCTCCATCGAAAGGTCTCACATGGCTCACTCTTCATGACCTATCAGGTAGAGATGATAGTGAGACCTGCTTTCTCAGTAAGCTATCTGTGGAACAAACGGAAGTCTAAACACCAGGCTAATGGAAACTCGGGACACACTGCGACCTTATAATACTCCTTAGTTTTCTCTTGAAAAATTGAAACTCTCCTTCCTACATGGTCTCCTTACAAGGTTAAGCCCCACTTCCAGGCCTGTGTCTGTCTGTCAAGGTTGACATCTAAGGTGTTCAACAGTGCAGATGACAATGGCTACAGGAAGTCACATACACTCAGAGTCAGAGCCATTTTACGTCACAAAAGAGATCGTCCTACCTGATCTCTTAAAAACAAACAAATCAATAAATCACATGCATGAGACTTAAGAAAGCTGAGGAATGCATAAAGGTTCAAGCTTTGCAAAACTCAGACTAAATAAACACAGTAATTGGATTCTGGAAGCCACTACCAGAGTTCTGCTAAAGTAAGACCCTAACTGCCACACTCATTTAGATTTTGGGCTATGGTATGTTTTCCATGGATTTTATCAATGTAGATTGTCTTCCTCTCTAGATACCGCAACCTTAAACTGCGTTTGTTTCTTGCATTTTGTGTCTGGTCAATTGGTGTAGACATGATTTTTCTATATTCTATTAAAATAATAAAAGAGCAGAATGGCAAGGAGAGCCCAGTTAAAGCAGAAAGCCCAAGCATAAAGGAGACAGCGTGGCTTTTGAAAGTTCAAACTGCTCAATAAACTCTGGGGATTCCATGCATGTCTCTTCGCCTTACTGTGTTAGCGGCTGAAGACTGTGGACTATGTGGCTTGGCATCTTTTAGTTTGATGCAAAAGTATACACATTGAGGGACTCTGAACTTTAGACTAAATTTGCCTCTCTCAGCTGCAGGAGAGAATCTGTATGCTGTGTGACAGCCTGTTACGGCCTGTCCTTGGGAACACATAAGGTAGGCATAGAGAGACTATTCTCTGAAGACCTTGCTAGTGTATCCAATTCTCAGAGGCATCATCGTTAGAATAATGCTGGGTCTTGTTTGTTGTACAGAGAAGACACGTTAGTCACAGGCTTTGTAGGTTTAGCTAATAACACTGGGTCGCAGGTCATAATAGACTGAGTCCCCAGCAAAATCTTAAACTGAGGGCTGTTAAGTTCAGGCCTCCGGTACATGGACAGTCACTTAATTCCTCTCTGGAACGAGGGGCTAGGGAATTACCTTAACTGAGCACCTGCGGCTACGACAGGGCAGCTGCTTCGCAAGCAGTCTCTCATTTGATCTTCACATCACTTACGAAGCTGGTATCCTTCACTGCCCACTTCCACGCATAAGGAAGATAAGGAAGCAAGGTTCCAGTTGCTCAAGTTAGTAGATGGAGAAGCTAAACACAACTCCAGCAGATTCTATATTGTGTCCTAGTCTTCCCTTTTCTCTGTCTCAATTTGTTTCCTGGAATTAATCACAGGTACAGGAAGGCACAAGCAGAGGGAGGGGTTGGTGAAGCAGAGAGAGACTGGTAAGGGAGGAGGGAAAAACATGCCTGAGATGTCTACTGTGTACCACAGACTCTGCAACTGTATATACATTTAATTCTCCTAAGAGTCTTACAAAATATTTATTAGCCTGAAGTTTCAGAAATTAGCACTCTGAGACTCACAGTGGCTAACTCCTTGATGGAGATAACAAGGCACAGTTAGATTCTGCTTCGATATGCCTGCTCCTGGAGCAAGGCACCCTTTCTTCTCATCCTCCCCGGGTCATGCTCACATGCACTGCACCTCAGTTCCTTGTGAGGCACTCAGCCAAACGTTCAGGGCTCTCTGGGTTGAACATCTTATCTATAAAATAACAGCTGCTCTATTTTAGAGGCTGGTTGAAAGCAAAACAAAATAAGTATGTCAAGATGCTTGGAAGAGTTGGAGAGTTATTAACAATACAGCACCAATCCTAAGAATATTAGAGTGAAGGAGCCTTAACGTTTGGCGAGAGTTTCAAGCATCTCCAGGCCAGCCATGGTGACATGGAGGTGGAGAGAGCTGAATATTCACTGATTCCTCAGGGAATAATGCATGTCCCTTTGTTTCCCTAGCCGGCATCTATGCCTTCTTGGGCCTGAAGAGGAAATTTTATGACTTGTGGAACGCGAAGCCAAGTATTGCCTTCTTAATTTCCAACTGGGATTCTTGGATCTGGTTTTCTTGTTTTATATCTGCACTGAGGTCATCTTACTCAGGAACTCTGGCACCAAGAATCTGCAAGAGGGCCTAAGAAAAAGAGCATACATCTTTTGAAAGCTGCATTGTTGGGTTACTTAAACCACCAAAATGTATGAAGTGCACTGATAAACTTGGGTCTTAGTTGGAACAGAGGATAAATGACAAAACCTGTTCTTATTATTTTAAAATTCATGATACCATAAATACACACATAAACTTAGATAATAGATATCTAGGGTCCTCCAGAATCATCCCATAGAATCTGAGCCATGATTTATGGGCAGCTGTGGAATTAAATGACTGATATCCAGCAGGATCAAAAATCGTAATATTTGTGGAGTGAGAGGCAGCTAAATATAAATTGTCCATACCATGTAACAGGAAATGCACGAGAATATTTATTTTCCTTTGAGTTTTGAAAAGCTTAGGTGAAGTCACAGGTCGCAAGACATTGAAATAAAACAGATAATAGTGTTGCAGTGTGTGGTGGCACACATTTTTAATCCCAGTGCTGGGGCAGAGGCAGTTCAAGGCTAGCATGTTTTACAAACTGAGTTCCAGAACAACAAGGGCTACACAGAGAAAATGTCTATTGAAAAACCAAACCAAACTAAATGAAAAACAGGAATAGCAAGGATAGCAGCAGCAGTATGCATTGGACATTTGCCACACATGGCACGCTCTTTTAAGAATTACTCATGCGTTGATTTCATTATTAAACCCACAACAACTAGATATTACCCTTGGATATGTCATGCTAGTGGAGACCTGACTGACTGCAGCGATATGGAGTTATTTGTTCTTGCGACAACCAGCTGGTAAGTGTGTCCCGATCCAATGACTGGAGGCTGAGAGCTATTCTGAAGAGGGTGAACGCAGAGCATCCTGCTCTACTTTCCCTTTTCTCCTGCCCTCCTTCTGTTGCCAGGGAAATAGGAGGAGGGCAGGAGTGTACCATTCCTCTTCTCAAAGCAATGGGAAAGCCAGCTCACGGGAACAACAAATTAACCGTCAGCTGAGCAGAACTCTTTCTTTTAGCAGGATTCACACTGCTTTCTGTCCCAGTTTCCCTCAGTTCAGAGACATTTAAACAATTGAAATACCCCCACACCCCAGGAAAGTAAGGCCTAAGGATGCCGCTCACCTTCTCAGAGCAGTAAGTCAAAGCAAGGTCTTCTATTCTGTTTCCAGAATCACCCCAGCCTGCCTTCCTTCAGAGCAGCAGTGAGCTGGCTAAGGGCCAAGGGATAAAGTCTTTGGAGGGAATGTTCCTGGCAACCATGCAACCTGACACAGCTTGGCATGTAATATTATAGATGTTTACAGGGTTTATGGGACTCACCTCTCCTAAGACATCCATGGTGCCGTTTTCCATCATCATGAGGATTTCTGGCTTAGCTTAAAGATAAATGAAATACAGTTAGTGGCATTGGATTGTGTACTACTTGCCTGCCTGTGTGTGTGTGTGTGTGTGTGTGTGTGTGATACGTGTGAGTGCTGGCTCCTGAGTAACATAATGCGCCTATCAAAGATCACTGGGCAGCTTTCAGGAGTTTGAACCTCTCTTTCTACCTTGCATTCATGGGGGAGGGTTCAAACGCATGTCACTGAGTTTGTGTGCAAGAGCTTTTTCCACTGAAACATCCTACCAGCCCCTGATATGTATTTTGTGCCACAGTTCAGAGCTCTCAGCAAGACTGATCTGAGCTTGAAGAAGTCAGGGGTTTGATCATTGTGCATTCCTTGTCTTCCTTCTCCTCCTAGGCTTACTTTCCACCCCCGTCCTGTTTCCAAGATTGACCTTTCAGACAAACTATGACTGTTAATAGTTTTAATGTCCAAATATAATTTATTTGGGAATGATTTTTAAATTTTACTTTTTGATTGAAGAAATTTTTTTTATCCAATTTATTCCATCATGTTTTCCCTCTCTCAAATTCTCCCAGATCCCACCCACCTAACTCTACAGGTTTTTCTTTCTTTCTGTTTAGAAAACAATCAAATAAACATAGCAAATCACCAGAATTTAATAATGAATAATAATAAAAATACATATGCAGCCACAAAAGCAGAAACTGTAATATACAAGAGTTTAGTAAGACTCTCCCACCCATCCTCCCCCTGAGAAAAAAACAATCCAAAGCAAACCAGTATGAGACAACAAGTCTTCAAAGATACCATTGGGTTCATTTTGTGTTGGCTTCTGCTGATGAGCCTGGCAGCCTGCGGTTAAGTATTGTTAATATAACCAGCGAGACTGTTTACCATTTGCAAACAGGTAATAGTTACAGATAGCTTCTTGGCTAGGGGTGGGGGCCGTGTCCACTCCTATCTCTCAGTTCTGGGACCCCCATCTCAAATAAATTAATTTAAATCCAAATTTTGTTTAAATGCCCATCACCTCCCACCTCACTCCCCTGTTCCTGGGGATTCCAAACCAAGACACAGCCTAGAAGTTGACAAATGAAACAGTATTTGTGAACTCTTATGAGAAACAAATACAGGTAGAATGAAGGCCCTGGAAGAACCCGAAAGTCACTGGGGTGGTGGAGAGAGACAGTCTATGAATGTGAAGCAGTCACCTTCTCAGGCTCTGAGTAGGGGGAGCAAGCTAAGCCTCAGCAGCGAGTTGGTGGTGGATTCAAAGGGGCAGGCTGCCTCTGTTCCCTGCTCTGCAGAGAGTAGACATCAGCCAGTGATGGCTTGGGAAGAAGAATCAAGTGTTGTAGAGCGTGATGGATGGGTTGGCGACACAGTCAACACAACGTTTTTCATATTCCATTTGGGCTTATTCAATGTAGAAAAACACTAATGGATGAGAGGCAGATTTTATATATCTTTTATTTGGCACGGTTTCATTCTGTGGCATGGGCTCAAACTTGTAATCCTCTTGAATAAATTGCCCCAAATTACAGGCGAAACAAGTGTGCCTGTCAGAGGTAGAGCGAAATCATGGAGACCCTCCTTCGCAGCCAGCAGCGTGTCTGTAAACGGTATATTTGCTTAAGAATTCCAGTGAGCAATGCAAACTTAATTGCAAAATAAGCAGCCACTGTTCCATATTTGTAAGCACCGTCCAAAGGGAGCTTAAAAAAGAAGAACGTATCCAGACAGAGCAATGGGGGAGCAGAGACGATGCTAAATGTGGGATGTAGGAGCATATGTGCCTTCCAGACCAACATGGAAACGTTTGAGGGTGGTGAAGACATGCAGCCATGGATTCCATGTTGACAAGGCACTTAGATCATGCCGTGGCACAAAGATCTCACCTACGTTAAAATGCATCTTTCTTCCCACATCCTGGATGTCTGCCTTCCTTGGCCTGCCAATAGCAAGGCCAGATGAGTCAGTTTGTGTTTGTGCTAAGATAGTCACACCCTGGAAGTGAACGAACGGTGCTATGGGTTCAGTAAAAGCAAATCAGTCTGTTTGGAAGTCTTCACAGGACACTGCCTAGGCTTCACAAAGAGCTGATGGGAACGGATAATTGTGATCAAGTTCACCCTCCCGGGAGACACGGGAGAGAAGGGAAGCATAGAAGTAAGGAGAAGAGAGAAGAAAAGGGGGCAGGGGAAGACAACAGGGCACAGGAGAAAGCTATATCCATGAAACTCCACATTAAGTAAATCTTGCCTCAGCTATTTCTGTCTTTATAAACTTCTCTGTGTTTTCTTCCACCGACCCCATTTTCTGACCTCTAATTCAGTGCAGCATGTTTCTAAATGAAAAATAAATAACCCCTTTTATATTTTATTTTATTCTGTCTGCCATATCATTAAGAAATCTGAGAAGCAATCTAGCATCCCAGGCCCTTAGATTTTAGGAAGTGTATTTTCTCTTTGCTTACTTCATTTTCAAAAACAATTGATTGCCATCCACGTGGCCGCTTTCCCCTTTGCCCTCCTTTAGAGTGACTTTAAGAACTACAGGTCATGGTTTGAAAAATGAAAAACTAGCCCAAGTCAGGAGCGTCTCTTTAGTAATATTTTCTTGCACCAGGAAACCAAACAGAACACACACATTTTCTCATCAAATTGCAGCCTGCAGAGTCTCTACATTCTGAATGGGGTCACGGTGGATTTCACAGCTAGGTGTTCTGAGGATCAGGTCAGAGAGCCATCCCTGCAGGCTTCACTATCTTTGCAAAACCCCAGAGGATTCTCACCCCAGGGGGCCCTTGCAGGATGGTGTGGGGCCTCCTGCAGTTTCTCTGGCTGTGTTTACCAGCCTCTTTTGCTGCTGGTGGCCTTATTGTACTTTGCAGGAGAAAATAACTCAGATAATTAGACAGCCAAGCAATTAGACTTTGGCAGTTATAATTAAAGAGATTCCCAGTACCCAGAGGAAACATTATGCCTGCAAACAAGGCAGAGGCCACCAGGAAGCTGACCTATATGTGACTTTCTGGTGGCTTTATTCTATTAACTGAGTCATTATTTTTTAGCCTTCCACCTTTGGTCCCGCCCCCAATGAGAATGATAGGCATCAAGGAAAAGGGAATTGCAGGAAAAGGGAATTGTGTGGCTGCTGTCCACTGTAAAAGGGGGACTCCCATGTAAGGAAAGAGCATGACCAGAGGCATTGACAGAGGTGGCAGAGAGCTCACTGAACAAACTCCTTACCAAAAACCTTGACTGTAGTGGAGGTCTTCCAGACTTCAAGAGGAGTGACTCTCAGCTGGCAAGAGAATGTCAAGCCGTCATCTTGGATTTGGACCGGGGAGAGGTGGAGTCCAAAGTCTGCCCCCAGCTTGACTCTGCCTTTAAATGATGTGGAATTGCAGATGTGGTCATCGTGGGTGAGGAGAACTTCCTGGACTCCATCTTTCTCCTGGCGAGAGAAATAGTAGTCAGTTACGGAACACAGAACATGTGAATCTGCTTCAACTGACTGTTTCTTAAACACTATTTACTTGTTTTGAATTATGTGCAGGTTTGTCTACATGTAGGTGCACATGAGTGCAGATGCTGTGGAAGCCAGAAGAAGGCACGGAATGTGCTGGATCTAGAGTTGGTATGAGATGCCCAATGTGGATATTGGGAGCTGAACTCAGTTCCTCTGGAGGATGGAAAGGACATTAACCACCGAGCCACCTCTTCAACTTAACCAGTGCTATTTAAACATTAATAAAACATGAACAATGAAGAGCCGAGCAGTGGTGGTGCACATCTTTAATCCCAGCACTGGGAAGGCAGAGATAGGTAGATCACTGTGAGTTCAAGGCCAGCCTGATCTACAGAGTAAGTTCCAGAACTGGCTCCATACCTACTGGGAAACCCTAAAAACAAAACAAAACAAACAACAAAAAAAGGATGATGAAGAATTAAAATGGAAGGAGATTGAGTCTATTACTAGAGAAAATATTGCTGTCCTTACAATTTAATAAACATTACTCTTTTTTCCGAGGAAGAGACCTGGTCAGTCATTCTCATTAATTTAGACCATGAAATCCAATATGGACAAGTTCAACAAAACGGCCATGTACAGGCTGCCCACGTGTGCTTCATTCATTTCATTCACTCTTTTTTCCTCATAACAGGAAGGGAAACACCCTTTGAACAGATCTAGCTTCTCACAGCCTTGCTTTCGGGGCAGGGGAGAGTGCCAGCTGCAGACCCCAAAGCTCAATGAGGAAGTTCATACTGTTAAAATGTGCTGAGGACATTGGGGTTTTGATAGTAAGTTTTTTACATTAACTTCATGATTCCACTTATCTTCTCTTCCCAGAATTCCCTAGGGAAAGGTCTAATTTAGTTCCTTTCAGAATCAGGAGTAGGATGAAGTAGAGACAAGAGAGCAAAGAACTTAGGGAAGACACATTTCAGAGTCTGGCACACGAAGGGAAGGCACCTGTGAGGAAGGGACCTCCTCAAAATTTGTCCCCTGTGTCCTCCTTATTGCAGTTCTTCATTATACTCGCAGTCCTGGCCATTGTTTCCAGGCTTCTGTGGCTTTAGAAGACCCAGAGAGAGCTCCTGAAAAGTGGGCTTTAAATGCTAACGTGACTTTTGTTACTGGAGTTTGCTGGGAGAACCTGACACCTCCATTTCCTGTCCTGTCTTGGGCTGATGAAGAGAAGCTCCTATTATTTTCCCCACTACTAAGGATGTCCATGCAAGCCTTGTAAAGATCATGATTGTGAGTGTCATAGGGGGATAGAACTCTTGGAGAGCACAAGGCAGTGTGCTGCTTAAATTCCTTCTCCATGCTAGCCTAATTCAATCTTCTCAATTAGCTGTTTGGAAACTGTTCCCGGCACGAGTTTCCCTCTAGAGATTCATGTTCAATCTGTTTGAGCCCAGGCATAACCTGGAACAATTTTAAAGTTCCTCAGGGGAGCCAGGTCTGAGAATGGCTGGTCTAAACATAAACTTTCCAGATAAATTATTATCCCCAAGGGAAATGGGAGGAACGAAAGGGGAGAAGGGCAGATAGGAAAGCCCTTGATAGGGGGAAAGACTTAAAATAATGAAAGCAACTCTCTGTGACTTGGAACCTCTAGTTTAAAAAGTTAGAGTCAGGGTAGAAGTAGAGTCTAGGTCGGTGAGTAAATTCAACACAGGAAGACTTATTAGAGTAATTATACAGAAATTTCCAGATAATACTGAATACCAGTTCTTATGTAAGTCACACGTCTCTGAATCTGGGCAAGATGCAAGATTGTTAACAGTGTTGCATACAGATGGAATTCTAGGGTTTCTTGCAAACTACCCTAGTCTTACCTGCCCCAGCCCCCCCAACAAGGTAAGAACCTCTACAGCTTTGTGAACCTGACCTTTAATCTTCCTTCTGAAGAAGAGCAAAGGGAGGATGCATTCCCATGATGGGGTCCAGGGGAGTCCGGAGTACTAGCAGAATGAAGTAGAAGGTATTTCCCTCAGCATCACAGATTTGAAGGTAATAGTTAAGGAAGCTGGCTCCCCCTGCAGGCCCTTCAGCACAACGTACTTCTCAGATCATCTTACACATGGGCTGGTTTTATAAAGATTGTGTAAGTTCAAAACGTGGAGTGTCTTTAATGGGCGTAGCTTCTACCATTACTAGGAGACACTCTCCCAGCAAACTCCCTGATAATCTGACTCTCACATCTCACAGCCTCTCTCTTCTACAATGCTTCCTGAGCCTTAGGTGTGGCAATGTCGATGTATCCATTGGAACTGGGACCCACAACTCTGCATTTTGATTGGTTGTGGCTTTATGCAATGGTTTCTGTTTCAAAAAGAAGTATCCTTCACAGAGGAGTGAGTATAAAGACAAATGATTGGCTACTCATGAGCTGAACAAGGACCACACAAACAGACATAACAAAGTGGACAGGGGGAAGAGCATGGTGCCTCAACCCTACTCAAAGAATTACAGGAAACCTGTGATTCCTGGGAGTGAGAAAAATAGCCTTCTCCAGGGAAGAGCATAGCTACTGGTGTTCTAGTACCAAATGGTCAGCCCTGGAAACATGCATGTATGCAGGTAACCACAATTAATAACAATAAAAAAGGAGATCACAAGTTTGAAAATGAGCAGGTAGGAGCTTGTGAGAGGGTTCAGAGGGAGGTAAAGGAAAGGTTACGTACTTGCAATCTCAAAAAGAAAAGGAAAAAAGGATTCTTGGCCTGCCAACAGTCAATCAGGAATCAGAAAGAAGAAGCTCGTGGGGCCCGGCCCCTCCCTGCTAAACTGCTGACTACTAATGGATCCTGCTGGAAGGGCAGTAGCTGTGTGTAACTGTGTACCCACTGAGGAGTCAACCGTACTCCAATGGAGAGTTCCAAAGCCATGGTCACACAGATGGAGCTGGTTAAGGAGGTGAACGTGGGAAAAGATCTAGTGGAAGGAGGGGGTTCTGCGAGTGGGAGGTAGGTAGGAAGGGACCATTGGGTGAGGGTAATTCTAATGTATCACATACATGTATGAAATTGTCAAAGAACAAATTTAGCCGAAGTTATTTTAAAGTGTTCTTGCCTGTTCACCATGTGGTTTTCAATTTGGGATAGTCCCATCTGTCATGTTGTTAAAGAGGGTAGACACAGGATGGAGACTGGTAAAAGCTGCTTTTGCTTTTATTGTATACCAGGGATGGCTTACTGTAACACTTTTATTGATGACGATAGCACACACCCATGTATACCAATGGATCCAGCAGTGTTTTACTTTGCTTGCTTTCCTTTGGCATTTAGCAGTTGCAGAGGGACAGGGTAACTTTGTTTTTTAAAGATGAAATTTCAGCTACTAAGTGTCCTGAAACCTGTAATGTGAGGAGATCCTGAGGGATTCTAGGGTCGGTTTCCCAGTGGCAGGGAAGTTCTATAATTATGCTCTGACTGCAACTGGAATAGTAAGTTCTCATTATTAAGGATTTTTTCTTTTAAGCTACATTTTTTGAGATTATAATATAATTGCATCCCTTCCCCTTTCCTTTCCTTCTCCAAAGTATCCCATGTACTCCTTTTTGTTTTTGTTTTAAAATTCATGACCTCTATTTTATTGTTCTCTCTCTCTCTCTCTCTCTCTTTCTCTCTCTCTCTCCCTCATACACACACATACACACACACACACACACACACACACACACACACACACACGTTCCTAAATACATATGTACAACCTTCTCAGTCTATGTAATGTTATTTTCAGGCGAGCGATTTGGTAATAGCTAACCAACTGGCTAGTAGATAACCATTTGGTAATAGATAACAGATTGTCTTTAATCCGTTTAGTGCACACTATGTTCTAGACACTGCAAAGCTTGTTAAAACATATCTTATACGCCTTACATAGTCTGGAATAAATTATGATTAACTTGCCCATAACCATACAGAAGAAGAAGGTACTCAAACCAAAGCATTTTAAAGCAAGGATGCTCAGAACCAAGGAAAACCATGCCTCAGGACTGCACATATAGGACAAATCTCAAGGACTAAATAACTAAACAATGATACTTTGAGGCATATCTAGAATGAAGAATGTAGGATAAATCCCCAAAAGCCACAAAACTTTATAAGGTTGTGGCCTGCAGGGGTCAGGGCAGGATGCTGGCTGCAAAGGGCCTTATGTTATACCAACCATTTGCGGTGACCAGCATCATAGGGTATATTCACTCAACTCCTTTGTATTTGCTCAGAATGGGGCAGGCCTCCCATGGGCAGGAGCAAAGCATGGCATATCAAGCTGCCCTAAGATCAAGCACCTTCCCTGTATTTAATCTGGGCAAGACAATCCAACATGAGGAATAGGTTCCCAAGAGCCAGCCAAGCACCAGGCACAGCCCTGCTTCTGTGACCAGGTGTCCCACAAATAGACCAAGCTACACAACTGTCACACATATGCAGAGGGCCTAGGTCAGTCCCGTGCAAGCTTCCTGGTTGTTGGTTCAAACTCTGTGAGTTCCCATGAGCCAGACTAGCAGAGCTCGGCCCAATGCTTAGCAGTATGTCTCTGAATCCACCCCTATCAGTCACTGAATGAAGGCTCTTCGATGACAACTGTGATTGTCACCATACCAATACCAGGGCATGGCCAGTTCAGGCTATGTACCCACCGCTTCCAGGAATCTTAGTTGGGGGCTCTTATGTTTTGATGAGCAGTAAACATTTAACTAGCTGTGCAGTCCAGACACTTAGTAGGTGATCAGTAATACAAGTTCACTCCTCGCTAGTTCTACCCACAAACACGCTGTGATTTTATGAAAGTTTACTGTGTACCCAGATAAATGGAAAATTTGGAGAATTATTGCTGTGGTTTAAATGGTTTTGTTCCTGTACCTCCCAAACCTATTCCCTGTTGGGCCAAATTATCTTAGGGCCTGTACCTTGAGGCCTATAGGACAGAAAAAA